CCAATGTGTTCTGTGTGTACGGTCAAAGTGAGCTCAGGTTCATTCCACCACAACCTTGCCTTGAAAGGCCTCAGTTTTTTTCCTTTTTTCCATAAGCCATCTCGAGATGAGGATGCATCTGGTACATAGGATTGATTGCAGCTAGGAATACCGATGATCTGGACAGCTCTGGCTGCAGATTTCTTGCAGAGGAGATTGGAAGTGGGGCAGCCAGAGCCGCATCGACACATGTTTTGTTTTTAGTCGTTTCTTTAAATTGTACAACGTTCCATTACTTAAACTACTAATGATCCCATGCCAGGCAATGTCCATCAAAAAAGCGGCGAAGATCGCCAATGCTTTTGTGGGAGATGGGCTCCGTCAGTCCACAGCACATGAGCTGGGACGCAAAGGCCGATCCCGTGACTTCTGGCGCTGGATGAAGCTTCCCTTCGACCCTTACCCGGTGGAGCTCCCCTTGAACAAATCAGGCTTGGATCCCCATGTAGTGATGGAAAACACCAACTTTGTTTTGCCGTCTGATATGCTGGCTGAGATGCTTCGTCAGAATGTGCGCTTGGTCTTCTTAACCAGTACGTTTGTACGTTTGCCTGTGTCTGCAAGACATAAACATGTGGATGTTTGCTTCTACCTGCGTGGCCCCAAGGTTGGATATTTGCGTCTTCGGTCCCGAAGGACATACATCCTTGGCTACCTATTGGGCCAAAGAATGTGCTGACTTCATGCAAAAAATCAAGCTCAACCAGGCCGACGCGGCGTTCGCCATTCCCCTCTTTCTTCATGAAGATGGTGTTCCCAGTTTCAAGGACGAATCCTATTCTTTTTGGAGCTGGAGCTCGCTGTCACGGCATCAAAGCGCCTACTCCAGGGCCTTCGTGGTGGGTTTGCCTAGCTCTCGTGTGCTGCCATCCACACGAGCAACAATCTGCGACGTGCTGGCCTGGGATCTGGCCAACTTGGCAAAAGGCGTGCGACCGACGCATGATCACCGTGGAAGGGTGCTGACAGGCAACCGTGCCAAGCTCGCTGGCAAGGCCATATGTGGCGGTTACACTGCTCACTTCGCTTGGTGGAAGGGGGACATGGAAGCCAGAGTTTCTGCTCACAACCTGATGACTCGCCACTACCGCCACTTGGTGGAACCAAACGTACATTGCTTTCATCAGCTGCTGCTGTTTCTTGCAGGCAGATTGGCATCTTTACTAAGGCTGTAAACTGATCTGCGACCTCTGCCTGGCCACTGCTGATCGACGGCTAAGCTACGGGGACTTCTCCAGCTCGGCACTGTGGCGGCAACTGCAGGGTGGAGTCAGCGACGAAGCAGATCAGAGCCACTGGCTTCCCGTCCCGGGATACTCGAGATCGAGGATTCTCCTGGACAGTGCCTTGCCAGGCGGAAGTTTTAAGAACCTTGGCCTGTCACATTGCTTATGGAATATCAACCTGAAACCAAGGTATGCATTTGCTGAATCTAGGAACCATGCGGGATATCATTGCATCTGCCCTGACATCCTGGCTGCTGCTTGGTATACTGCAGAAGCACCTCGGCACCGGCTACAATGAGGTGAACAAAGCCCTGCACCGGTTCACATATCTCGGCAAACAGTGGGCCAAAACAGTCGGCGAAGAACTCAACATCAAGGACGCGTGTGTGCAAAAAAATAATCAAATTTCAGATGTGCTGTGCTTTGAACTGTTTGCGAGGAACTTACACGAGCCAAAATTGGAATGCCCACGAGTGGCATGGTCCTGAAACAGTACCCTGAGCTGGACTCACGAATCAAGGCCCCGAGGTACATAATTATATGTTGGAAGTCTGCTGCAAATTGATGAAACACACAATGCTTTGTCAACTGAGGCTGCACGGGCAAAAACTTTGTTGTTGTTTTGCACCCACATGGCCATCACTCTGGCCACACGACAGAAGTTCATCAAGCGTTTATGTTCTGGTCGACTGATTGCAGCTATGTTGCACACTTCGCTCGACAATCTTAAGGAATCGAAACCAAATGTTGAGTTGTCTGCTGATCAGCTGTGGCTTCTGCAGATGGAATGCACGATGCTTTGGGCGCTTTCCACGACACTGCAGATCTGGCTGCAGGGCAGTCGTCCTTACCTGACAGACGTTACTTGCCTGCACGGTCAAGTAGAATAAACTCGTAACTATATTGAGTTTGTAATTGAGGTCGCTGTTGTTCATTTTTCGTGCATATGGTTTCCAGTTTAAGGTTTAAGGCTTCTGTAAGTGTGTTATAGGACCCGAAAGACACTGAACTATCCTGCGAATGCCAGAAGCAAGGGAAACTCTGATGGAGGCTCGTATCGATCCTACCTGGCCAAGACTAATCGAAACATCTGGTAATTGGTTGGCTCTGAAGCCTCCCTCAGTATAGAGTTTAATGTAGCAATTTTTTCTTATTACGGTGTCGGAATGAGGATCAGTGTGATGCATCGACAGCGCTCTTCAAGCTGCATTTGGATGCCTATCAATTTCTGGCACTGGACTCCCTGGCCAAAGGGCGCCTTCTCTGGCACCTGCGGCCAAAATTTCACTACAGCGACCACCTGTTGCAATGGGCGAAATCTTCGAAGATGAATCCTCAAGCCGTGTCCAATTTTATGGACGAAGACCATATGAAGTTCATGTCCAGAACCGGTGCACGCATACATATCATGTTTTCCATCTTGGTGCTGTTAATGCCCCTAAACCCTAAACTCTACAAACTCATACAACCCAACCTACAAAACACTCAGGAATCGCGGCGAGTCTCCACCCTGCAACTCTCAATATGGAGTTCGCGAAACGGTATATTCTGAGAAGATCAATGCAATATTCGAGACTGAACCGACCAGGCGAACGCGAGGAACTGCAAAAAGTGTGTGCAACTGCACATAGTTTAAACCTAAACCCTGAACCCTAAACCCTAAATACCCTAAACCCGCAAACAGTTGTCTTTCTTTAAACAGCCTGTGGAGCCTTGCCTTCTGCGAGTGTGAGCGTCGAATTTAAAACCGCCAACAATCGAAGCCTTCACAGAAATGCAACCAGGTGCATATGCGCTGACGCTTGGCTTCTTCCCGGACTCTGCTGCACTTAAGGGCTGGCAGGTGTTGCTCGCAGCGATCTCATTTCCACATGTTTCAACTATACTATATTATATGTTAATATTAACATATGTCCTGGCATCCAGGACTGTATGCCCTGGCACCCAGGGCTGATATATACGGGATATATACAGCCCTATAGCATTCGAACTGTACTTTTCTAGCGTGGCTTGGCATGTGGAGTCGATGTCGCCAGCGAGTCGGTTGGTTGCAACCTGCATGGTCGGTCGCGTCGAGCTTGATGCTTGCCTTGCATGGTTGGTACCGATGTCGCCAGCGTGTCGGTTGGTTGCAACTTGGTCGGTCGCGTCGAGCTTGAGTCGGTTGGTTGCAACCTGCATGGTCGTTCGCGTTGATGTCGCCAGCGTGTCGGTTGGTTGCAACTTGGTCGGTCGCGTCGAGCTTGATGCTTGCCTTGGTCGGTGTGTTTATATCGATCCTGCGTGATCGGGCGGTCGTCGGTACCTGCCTCGGTTGACCTGCGTGCAGTGTTGCTTGTGTGGCGCGGTCGGTCGGCTGCCTCGAGCTTAACTGCAGTTTATCGTGTTCATCGATCCTGCCTGCAGTGTTGCTTGTCAGGCGGTCGGTTGCCTCGAGTTGATATAAACCCTTTGTATAGTGCTACTATTGTCGTGCGGTCGGTCAGTTGCCTCGCTAGGCCCGTGAATAGCTCCTGAAAGAGGGCCTAATAAAAGCAATATTGCTTTTCTTGTATGAGTACCCACTCGTTGCTTTAATTTTGGCTCATTGCTTTAATTTTGCCTCATTGCTTTAATTTTGGCTCATTGCTTTTCATCAAACTGCATTGCTTTAATATAAAGCGCTAGGGCCCTGCAGGTATGGCGGCGGCGTTCGGGGTCCGCTC